GAGAAACAATCCTTAACATGTTGACCCACAAAAAAAAAAAATTCATTATAATCATTATCCTCAACCATATATGAGATCAAAATATCTTATTTATTTTGTTTATACATGTGTAACATTACAGAAGCAAACCTTCTATTTCTGGAATCACCGGCCGGAGTTGGATTTTCCTACACGAACACAAGCTCCGATCTTAAAGATTCCGGCGACGAACGGACAGGTTCAATCCATTTCCTTAATTCATCATGCTCTATATATCCATCAACTTATAAACCAGCATTACTAGTTTATGTTATAGAAAAAAAGTTATATATTTATTCTTGCTTGAGAATATTGATTTATGTTTTGATTATATTTCGTGTCACAGCCCAAGACAGTTTAATATTTCTTATCAAATGGTTATCGAAATTTCCTCAATACAAATACAGAGACTTCTATATCGCTGGTGAAAGCTATGCTGGTACGTTATTACAATATATTGCTTCACTTTTAAGGTTCAAGAATTACCTATTTTTAAAACAGTCTAATGTATATTATTATTTTGACAGGTCATTATGTTCCTCAGCTAGCCAAAAAAATCCATGATTACAACAAAGCTTTCTCCAAACCCATCATCAATCTCAAAGGATTCATGGTAAAAACAAAAAAAAGGTTTATCTAGCTTGTTTCTAAAATATGGCTCGAATTGGTAATTGACAAAAGATTACCGTCCTTATTTCTCAAAGGTGGGAAATGCAGTGACGGACAATGAGTACGATAGTATAGGAACCGTAACTTACTGGTGGACACACGCAATTATCTCCGACAAAACCTACAAGTCAATTCTCAAACACTGCAATTTCACGGCGGATACAGTTTCCGACGGTTGCGACACAGCCGTGAACTACGCCATGAACCACGAGTTCGGTGACATTGATCAGTACAGCATTTACACTCCAACGTGCATGGCATCGAAGAACAAAACCGGATTCTTTGTACGCATGAAGAACACACTCTTGCGTAGACGGTTAGTGTCTGGGTACGATCCTTGTACGGAGAGTTACGCAGAGAAGTATTATAACCGTCGCGATGTTCAGAGAGCTATGCATGCTAATGTAACCGGGATTCGCTATAAATGGACAGCTTGCAGGTAAAAACAGTTCGTTTCACCACATCATGATTACTGTAATTACGATTTGTGTTAATGTTCCTGAAACAATTGTGTTCTTGTCTGCGAAAAATTATTACAGTGATGTTATGATCAAGAATTGGAGAGATTCTGACAAGACGATGTTACCGGTTTACAAGGAACTTGCAGCAACTGGTATGAGGATCTGGATTTTCAGGTACAATATGGTTCAATGTAACAGGAAAGATTCAACCTCGCTATGTATGGTACTAAACCAAAACTGTGGGTTATTTTGTCATGCAGTGGTGATACAGATTCGGTGGTTCCAGTGACCGCGACACGGTTTTCCCTCAGCCATCTCAACCTACCGGTGAAAACTCGTTGGTACCCTTGGTACTCCGGTAATCAGGTATAATATACATACACATACTGCATATACATACATGGATATGTTTTATATTACAAGACAGTGATGTTTACCGGCGGTGACAGGTGGGAGGATGGACGGAGGTGTACAAGGGACTGACCTTTGCAACAGTAAGAGGGGCGGGCCACGAGGTGCCTTTATTCGAACCTAAGCGTGCTTACACTCTTTTCAAATCATTCTTGGCCGGTAAAGAGCTTCCAAAATCTTATTAGTTACTTTAGTTACCTAACCATAGAGTAAGAGAAAATGTCCCAGAAGCACAATTTGGATACCAGATTAGGAACCAATTCCGAGTAAACTCGGAATTTTTCTTTTCTTGTTTTTTATTATGTTAAAAGCTCGATTCATTTCCACAATTTGGAAACAACAAAAACGATTTAAGGGCATTTGAGTAATTGTTGATATTCAAAGAAGTACAAGGGTTCATATCTCTCTCCAATTCCTTAGAGAACAGAGCTCTAGTTTCTTTCTCATTGCACGATATACAAGAAAAAAAAAACCGACTTCTCATACCTGAAGGTTGAGTGAGACCACAACCAAAAAATAAAAGTTTGTTACTTTAATCCATCGCTGAGTCCCGGCGGCATGCCTAAGCTCTGCGCAAGGTCGCTCATTCTTTCTTTCATAGCCTGTGGAATTCATAAGATTCTATAAGCAAGAGATGAAGAAAATTAAATGCGTAGTTGTATTGAGAAACATGGCCTGTGGTGTCTTTACCACAACACTCTTTGTGTGTGCGTCCTTGTATGCTTCTGTGACCAGTAGTGATAGTTTCTGCCAAAGGAAAACAGGGAACATGAAAAATCTTCCTGATTTATCATAAGAGAAAGCAGAAGAAATATACAGCTTTTGATCATTCCTTGGTAGAAGCAAGTGCAAGAGTAAGTTAAAGGAAGATTACTTACTTCGGAACCTAATTCCATTGCTGCATCAGTGATATCAGTGCGGATCGGTTGCTGGTTACCCGATAATGTAACCTGATACAAATTCAAAGTTTCAGGTCAGTTACCTCATAAGAGATCGAAAAGAAAAGTAAATATAGCTTTATGATTGATCATAGACTAATAGCTAACTTAGTGTGTAATGATCTATTAAGAATCTAACAAAGAGCCTGCAATACCTTGACAAGCTCTCCTTCACAATATCCATCAAATTCAGCACTGAAAAATGAGAAGAGAAACAGCATGAAACTCATTAACATCGACAAAGCTTAACATTTAGTAGTAATGCGTATGGTTGGTTAACGGGGACATACACAGCTAGCTCCTTCTGTACCCTAACAGCTTCTACTTGGACAACCATTTGAGCTTTCTTCACAGTCTCATAAAGATTCTGCATATTACCAAGTATCCCTGCCTACGACAAACACCAGAAGCAATAAGAAATCTCATTAGTACCATTTTTCGAGTTTCGACGAAGAAGCTTTGGAGCTAAGTAAATGTGATAATCCCTAATCAAAAGGGTGCAAACAAGACAAATCAATGTGTAGGCAAGAGATGTGTTGACATGAACCCTAAAAGATGTACCTTTGATTGCCCATCCTCGTTATTATCCTTCTTACCGCCTCCGAATAGTCCATTAATACGAAGAGATCTGTTATAATTCTTATAACGCTTGCGATTTAACCATACCACGTTCTGTCTACTACCTCGTTGCGTTGCATTACCTGAAATTTTCCCTCATAAGAAGAGCTTGCAGACGAATACACAATCCCGGAAAATGAAATCTGACTCCCAAAAACGCAGAAAGATGATCAAACTATACAAATCTTAGAATAGTGTAACTGTGAGAAACTCGCATCGAATTCACACTATTTCTTATCAAAATTCAAAATTGAAATCTGATTTTTTCGAAAGACAAACTCAACCACATACCTATGAACATAACCC